AAAAAAAAAAAAAAGAAAGAAAGAAAGAAAGGAAACTAGGGATATATTACTACCAACGTTATAGAGTTGTTTTTTTTAATGAGACAATTGTAATAACTATATGTCAAAAATTAGAGAGCAAAAAACAAAAGGAAAAATCCCTTGAAATAAACAAACGACCTAAGCTGGTTCAAGAGCAAACCTCAGTACTTCTATACAATCAAAATTTCCTGGGGCTGGAGAGATGGCTCAGCGGTTAAGAGCACTGACTATTCTTCCAGAGGACCCAGGTTCAATTCCCAGCACCCACACCACAACTCACAACTGTCTGTAACTCCAGTTCCAGGGGCTCCAACACTGTCCCACAGGCAAAACACCAATACACATAAAATTTAAAAAATTAAAAATTAAAAAAAAAACCAAAAAAAAAATTCCCAACAAGGAAAATCTCTCATCATACAGTCTTATCAGTGAATTCTAGTAAATGTTTTTTGTTTTGTTTTGTTTCGTTTTTGAGATAGGGTTTCTCTGTGTCACAGCTCTCGCTGTCCTGGAACTCACTCTGTAGACCAGGCTGGCCTTGAACTCACAGAGATTTGCCTGTCTCTGCCTCCCAAGTGCTGGGATTAAAGGCATTTGCCAGCACTGCCCAGCTCTATTAAATGTTTAAAGAAAGATTTAACAAGTTTTTTTTTTAAACGAAACTTTTGCAAAAAATTGAGGAATGAATGCTTCCTAATACATTCTAAGCAGCCAGCATTACTGACACCAAAATCAGACAAATATATTCTAGATAAGTAAAAAAGTGGATCAATATCACTGTAAACTAGATATAAAAAAAATCAACAAAATAAAAACATATTAAACCCAAAAGCATATTGAAAGAATTTCACCATGGCCAAGTAGGATTCAGCCTACCCCATGGATGCAAGGTGGTTCAACAAAATCAATCAATGGAATACAACGATACAACAAAGGAATGGGGCATATGATCATCACAACTGACGCAGAGACAGCATTTGTTCATGGTAGCATTCCTCAGGAATGGGCAGTTCATAGACTACACCAACTTATAGTAGAAAATCGAGAGGCAAAAGAGAACTATCAGAATTAATAAATGAATTGCCAGGGTTATACCAAGACATTTAAAAAAAATCAGTGTTTTTTTAAAAATTATTTTTTGGACACTAGCACTAAGCAATATAAAAAGAAAATTAAAGATGCAACTCCAATAAAAATATTTGAATGAAGTCGGGTGATGGTGGCACACACCTTTGATCCCAGCACTCCAGATGCAGAGGCAGGTGGATCTCTGTGAGTTCGAGGCCAGCCTGGTCTACAGAGTGAGTTCCAGGACAGCCAGGGCTACACAGAAATGTCTCAAACAACAACAACAAAGTGTGAATGAACCAAGAATGTTGAAAACTAAAAAGCATTGCTGAAAGGAATTAAGACTCAAAGAAAGAGGCATCTTGTGTTTATGGACAGGAAGACATCAAAATAGTAATACTATTCAAAGCAACCTACAGTTCCATAAAACCCTATTTCCAAAAGCCCCTTTCCAAGAAATGGTAAAGTCAATCCCCAAATCAATACGAAAGTAGGACAGCAGATGTAGCTCAGTAGTGTAGTATTTGTGTAGCGCAAAGAAAGCCCTAGGTTCAATTCCTGGTACCAAATTCAAATGAAGTGCCAAACATCTTGAATAACCAAAACAGTCTTTAGTAAAGATGGAGGACACACTTAATAATTGCAAAAAAATTACCTGCAAAGCAATATGGTATTAGCATATGGATATATAGATCACCGTAGACAGCCCGGCAAAAAACTCTCATAAACTAATTGATTTTCAGCAAGTCCACTCAATGGGCGAAAGGTTTTTAACATATGTTACCGAACGTGGATATTCACAAAGAATAAAGGGAGGTAAAGCGGGAATAACTAGTAGTGGTTTACACAACCTTGTACAAAGCCACTTAATTTTAGGTTGGCAAATGATTAAAATGATCATTAGTCTGTATGTTTTACATAATAACGCCCCCAAAAGGGTAAATAAAATAAATGGAGATAACACAACAAGTGGATTGGCAATGCAAAGGGGATTCAGAAAGATATTCAAATTTTCTCATCGGGAAGAATACGTGGATGATTCCTTCACCAACCAAGAAGTATAGCTGGGGAGGTCTGGGCACGAACTTGATTCAAAACGGCACACTAAACACTGGAAAATCAACAGGAAATTAAGTGGTTGGCTCCGGAGCTCGAGAGGTATTCAGGCTAACGAGAGATTTGTGAACCTTCAGGGTAACCGAAGCTATGGAAGGCAAGAGATCGACCTAGGAACACATAAGAAAGATTCCCTAAGAAACAACAATACCCACAAGGGAGGGGAACCAACAGCTTTCTGCATTCCGGGATCCCACGCGCCAAGTCCACATCCCTGGGCGGGAGGGACTTACCACGGCTTGCGCTCAGACAGGCTGTTCAGGCCCATGCAGGCAGCGGACAGCGAGAGCCCTCCGTGACCGCAGCCTCCGAGAACAGAGCTGGGGCCCGCCTCCCACGGAAGAACCGAAGCTGTGGAGCAAACCGAGCAGACGCTCCGCGGCCTGACTCCCCAGCCTTGGCCTGCGCCCCGCCTACAACGAGGAAAGTCCCTCTCGGGGGCCCGTCGCCCTCCGAGCATTCCGATTGGCGGAGATGACCATGGGACCTGGAAGTTGTCTTTGTCCGGCCAGGGCTGCCCTTCCGGTTCCGTTGGGTCCCCCTTTGGCTCAGATTGCCTGCCCCTCCCCCGTCCCGGAGCCCCGAGGGGCCGGAGCTCCTGGCGGTGCCAGATCCAGATGGCGGCCTTCCCCCCGGGTCTGTAAGTTCAGAGGCGACCTGAAAGCCGGGCTGGGGTGCGGGGTCTCTGGAAATGGAGCCCCCTTGGGGATCTGGATCACCCGCGACCTACCCTGGGATGGGAGCCGAGGTGCTGCTGGTCTAGGCCCCCGGGGACTTAAGCCATTGGACCCATGCTGCATCCCACCCTCTTCCCCTTACCGACAGGATGCCCCAGGGACCGCCTCCTGGGACCTTCTACCTAGGGCCCTGTGGCTGGCCAGGACGCCAGACTGGCATTTTGTAAAAAGTGCTGGAGTTGAGGCCAGCAGAAAACTGAACCGCGGGAGCTAGCCAAGGCAAGGCTTTAAGTGGCGACCGCGAGACTACTATAAATGCCAGGTTTTGATGGGTTTTACCTCTGCTCAGCCGCCGACTACAGCACCTTTTGTATTACTGGCGCTATGCCAAGCACTGGAGGTTCATCACATAATCTAGTGTTCATGGTCAAGTTTGGAAACGATATGTTAACAAATTGATGCTCGAATCAGGGTCAGGGTATGCAATCTGTTAACTTATATCATCTGCTCTAGGGACAGTTGCTGGGAAGCCCGTAGAAAGAGAGTGGCCTCTAAATTCTACTTCGTGGAAATAACTTTCCGGCAAAAGGAAAAGTTGTAGTTCTACTGAGAAGTAACAGACTGTGTGTGTCTGATGAAGAAGGAATAGGGGTGGGGATTGTGTGCATAAGACGGAATTTGAAGCCGATAGGTAAAGTGAAGTCCAGATAGTAGTGGAAGGTTTAATTAATCCTAAAGGACGTGAGTTATCTTTTTGAAGCTCTCTGAGCAAGAAACTGATATGGTCAGATTTGTACTGCAGAAAGTCATTTTGTTTTCAGGGAAGCCAGTAGAGTAGAAACTAGCTGAATCTGGGCTCTCTTAGCTAAAATCTAGACACTAATATTGGAGATTATTTTGAAAAAAATATTGAGGTCATCTAGGTGAGATGCAATCAAATCTAAAATAGAGTTATGGTATTGTTACAAGAAAGAAAAGTGCTAATGTCCCGAAGATTATACATTGAAGGAGAAAAAAAGTCTAAGTCTTAAGCACCTGATATTTGAAGAATATAGTGGTGCCATAATCAGAAATAAAACCATAAGGCTATTGGAAGTACAAATTCAGTCTTTGTTTATGTTGAGTTCATGTTTAAAGGTATAGCCACATAGAGCTGTCCAGCTTAAGAGTTGGGAACGTGAATGTGGAGATAGCCTAAACATTGTGGCTAGGAGTAAAACGTTTGAATTTTGGCATGTGGGCAGACACCATGAGAAGAGTTGGCATCAAGGAGGGAGCACTGAAAAAGGGTGATTTGAAGGATGATGGTTCCATTAATAAAGCAGAAAAGCAAATTAGAGCCCACAGAAAAGAAAGCCCAAGAACACAGGGTGCACGCAACTATGGTGACCTGGGTATCAAGAGAGAATTTTGAAGAGAGTGCACTGGATCATGCTCAGCTATTAGGGAATGGGAAAGAAAAAAGAAAGCATCTTTTTTATTAACAGGCCAACAGTGACCTGGTAAAAAGCAATTTTAGTAGATGAGGTAATGCAATATAAAATATCAGAGGCCTCAATTGGTTTGAAGTTAAATGGGAAAACGGGAAGGATTTCACAAAGAAAATTGACAGGCCTTATTTGTTTATTTACTCAGCACATGTTTAAAGAGCACATAACAGACACTATTCTAAGCTCTTTTGAAAATGAACTAATGGGCTGGAGAGATGGCTTAGTGGTTCAATTCTCGGGACTGACATGCCTCACAACCATCCATAAGTCCAGTTCCAGGGAATCCGATGCCTTCTTCTGACCTCCACAGACACCATATAAGTTGTGCACATACATGCAGGCAGAACATTCATGATATAAAATAATTAAATCTTTAATGATGAGCTTATTTAATTCCCCTTAGCAATCTCATTAAGTAATTTATTATTGGTTGACAAGAAAGCTAAAACAGACTGTATAAAGTAATTCACCCACAGCTGCATAGCTGGTAAATAGCTGAGCAGAGTTTTAACCTTAGATATTGGATTCCAGAGTCCATGCTTTACTTACTTGCTGTATGGTGACTACATAGGAGTCAAGGAGTGGGAGCGTTGGAAGGAAAGATAGGCTTCTTGATTAAGAAGAGAGACCTACAGGATAGCAAGGTTGAAAGAGGTAAGCGATGAGCTTATGCTATAGTGTGTATGTGCATTTTCTGTCTTTCGTTCTAGGGTCCTCTATGCTCACTTAAGTAGATTTCTTATACTCCAGTGTAGTGTTTCATTTACAACTTACTTACAATTTACACTGAGGATTCTTCTCTAGATTTTTACCCTGATGCCACAGAGGCTCTCTGCATGTTTTAATGACCAGCCTTAGGATCACGCCTTTAGTAGTTTCTAGGTTACTGAATGACACTCAAAGATAACCAATCACTTGAGACAGAATATTTAGAGTTCTTTTGATACTTTTTCTCTTCTTCTCTACCTTGATGAACAAGATCATTGGTTTGGGGGTTGTTTGTTTAGATTATTTTTAAATGTTCTCCCTGTAGTCACAGTCTCATCATTTCTGTCTTGATCTGTTAAAATGATGGCATTGTAAAAGGCTGTTCACTAAGTCATTCCCTATATATTTTATTTTCAAATTGCTGAATTTTGAATAGTGTAAGAGCATAAGCATCATAATTTTTAAATGTTAAATACTTAGAGCAGGTATTTTCAAGTATAATTAAGTTGAGATTAAACTTGGTTAGGTTTAGTAACAGGATAGGAACAGGAATTCTTACCAAAGTGAAGGAATACAACTGAGAAAACAGACAGGCTTTTCTGTGGAATTAAATCTTGACAAAGCATAGCAACAAACCAAAACAGAGCTTTTAAGAATGCAGTTACCCTTGTACAATTTAGTGACACTTCAGAAACAGACTAGCAAAATAATGGTTAAAAAAAAAAATGAAACTAAGTCCAAGGCTGAGGAGATGGCTAGGGGATAAGAGCACTTGCTCCTTATGCTGAATACCAGAGTTTGGTTCCCAGCACCTACATCCTATGGTTTACAACTACCTATAACTCTAGCTCTATAAGAGTTAACTACCACCGGGCGGTGGTGGCGCACGCCTTTAATCCCAGCACTCGGGAGGCAGAGGCAGGCAGATCTCTGTGAGTTCGAGGCCAGCCTGGGCTACCAAGTGAGCTCTAGGAAAAGGCGCAAAGCTACACAGAGAAACCCTGTCTCGAAAAAAAGAAAAAAAAAAAAGAGTTAACTACCTATAACTCTAACACATATTAACAAAAATTAAGTTCAAAAAGAAAACAAACAACAACAAAAACCCCCTGAGATCAGTAGTAGGAGGATAAAGGCATAAGATACAGTCAGGAATATGTACATGTTAGTAGTGTTAATCAGTACATAAATGGCTTGTCATTATAGTCTTCTGTACTTAAATTTGGTTTGAATTTGTACTTTTTGCTTTTAGATGTAAATCTTTTATTAAAGTATAACAAAAATACAAAAATCTACAGATCATAATGTAGTGCTCCATAGTAATTCCCAAAATGAGAAGGAAAATCTGAACCATTACACAGTTCAGATAAATCCTTAAGCTAAGCTGTGCCTTGCCCATATGTTTCATGTATTGATTCATAGCTTGAGCACAAGTTTCAGCTCTAACAATTAGCAATTCTGTTTCTATTAATTTCAGCATATTATTTATGTTCTCTCAGCTTCATTTTCTTATAGTCAAATTGGGGATAATAATAATAACATACCAGTAGAGACGTTCAGGACTAAATGAATTAATTTAGGTAAAGCATATTTGGAATGTGGCATGAATGAAGAAGACATTAGGTATAATTTTGTAAAAGGAATTAATCCATTAATCCTGTTAGGTGATCATCAATCCCCAGAGACAGGATTTCTTTGCATAGCCTTGTCTGTCCTGGAACTCATTTTGTAGTCCAGGCTGGCCTCGAACTCACAAAGCTCCATCTGCTTCTGCCTCCTGAGGGCTGGGATTAAAGGTATACGCCACCCCCCAACCCCCACCTCTGCTAATTATTACAATTTTATATTATTTGTTTGGTTGTGTGTGCACATACATTTATATTACATATTTGCATATACATTTGGTGCTGGGATTAAACCTAGGGATTCCATATATACTAAATATACATTCTACTACTGAGCAATTAATTATTTAAAACATTTTTTTTCTATTAAAAAAAGGTATTGCAAATTTGGTTCTACATGATTTAAAGAGTTCTCCAGGTTCTCAAAAGAGGATACCATGGCATTGAAAATCATCTCTAGGGGCTGGAGAGATAGCTCAGTGGTTAAGAGCGTTGGCTGTTCTTGCAGAGGTCCTGAGTTCAATTCCCAGCAACCACATGGTAGCTCACAACCCTCTGTAATGAGATCTGACACCCTCTTCTGGCAGGCAAGCAGAACACTGTATCCATAATAAATAAATCTAAAAAAAAAAAAGAAAAAAAGAAAAAAATCATCTCTATTACAGGTCAATAATAATTTCACAGCAAATATCGAGGAGTCACTATAATGCTGTGTTTTGTTTAATGAGCTATGTAAACTGTAATAAACAGTTGATCCTTGTCCTCAAATAACTAATGACCTATTAGCAAAGGAGACTAATGTCAGGAAATAACTAATGTCAAAAGTGTATGACCTGGGAATGGATTATTAAAGGGATAATTGGGCTGACAGATATTAAGAAAAACTTCCTAAAGTAAACAATAGACTTCCCTAACTTTCTTTGACTGCAGCAGGAAGATTAAAGCAGGGATTTTTTTTTTTTTTTTTGAGACACTTGTTTGGCTGTTCCTGTTGATAAGGTTTTGTTTGTTTGTTTGTTTGTTTTTTGTGTTTTTTGTTGTTTGTTTTTGTTTTTTGAGACAGGATTTCTCTGTGTAGCTTTGATTCCTGTCCTGGATCTCACTCTGTAGAACAGGCTGCTTCAAACTCACAGGCTCTGCCTCTAGAGTGTTGGGATTAAAGGCATGCGCTACCACTGCCCGGCCCTGTTGATAAGTTTTGAGAACTCATGAGTTGGATGTAAATGAAACTGAACTCTGGCTTTTCTGTAGAGAAACAAGGAACAAGTTTCCCCAAAGACATTTGACTTAAAACATTCTGAATACTGCTATACTCTAGCTGGAAACAATTAATGTTAATTTTTTACTATGACTAGGAAAATACTGCTGAACTTTAGTGAATTTTTTTTTTTGTTTGTTTGTTTTTTTGTTTTTTGAGACAGGGTTTCTCTGTAGCTTTGGAGCCTGTCCTGGACTAGCTCTGTAGATCAGGCTGGCCTCGAACTCCACCTGCCTCTGCCTCGCGAGTGCTGGAATTACAGGCATGCGCCACCACTGCCTGGCTTGCTTTAGTGAATTTAAGACCAGCTCAACTCTAAAAAAGAGAATGCCACTTTTGTTTGGCCACTTGAAATTACGATCATTTTTATAACTTCTGGTTAAATTGGGACATCACTGTTCGAGTTATAGAGTGAATATTTTTAAGCTACTGCCACTGAAACTGACCAGTGATAGTATAGTTTGGCTGCTTCTAAATACTGAAAAAATTTCCTGTGTTTTCTAGATTTTCCTTGTTTGAAACTCATTGATTTCTCTAACACATTTGCTTGTCTGCATTCCTCTTGTCCCAGCCAGTGCAGTTCCAAATCTTTATTATGATCATTTATTATCCCCACATTCAGAATGCTGTACAGGAGAAAACCTTATACACAGTTTGTGATTATTAACATACATTTGCCACACCCTTCTAAATGTTATCTCTTTCTGTGATATTCACCTAAACTCTAAGATATAGAATTTTTTTGAGATAGGATCTCACCATGTAGCTCAGGCTAGCCCAGCTCTTGAAATCTACCTACCTCAGCTTTTGAGTATGTGTGTGCTGTCAGGCCCTGGTTGTTTTTTTGTTTTTGTTTTTCCTTCTTTTTCAATTCTCATCAGTTTTCAAGTTCTCTGAAATGCCTTTTACTATCTTTTTGCTTGTTTTTTTTTTTTTAATTACCATTTTCATTCCTTTCTAGGCCGTTGTGGCCTCACTTATGTAATATGTGGCCTCCATAGATATTAATCTGGTATACTTAACAAAATTCTTTCTTTTGTGAGACTAATCCTGTAGGTTTAACTGCTGCATACTGAGCCCTTCCTGTGTGTTTGGTATGGTGTTGGGTGATAGTAGTGTGCATGAGTTTGAACAGAGGAGAGTTTGATCACCAGTGGGAGAAGCAGGGTGGCTACAGTAAGAATTTGAAGTAAAAGCAGACTGTTTCCAGCTTCCGCCCCATGAAATAAGATGCATATGTTGCTACCTAATGCCAGGGAATTTTCAGTTTGGACAGGAAGGAATTATTTGATGAAGCATTTTGAGTGTTATGTAGAAGTATTGTGTTGAGGGCCTTAGAGACAACTCTTTTGCTCTGAGTGGTTGGACAAGTTCCTCTCAGGAAATGGAGACTAGCCTGGCTAAAATGCAATGTTCTAGATTAGTGCAACTTGTATGACGAGCTTAGAGCAAGTAGATACATTATGTATCAAGTCATCAGGAGCTGACACTTTCTGAAAAATTAAGATTATGAATTTTGGGCTTCAGAATTTAGATGTGATTCCTGGTATAGGGTGCATGCCTTTAATGCCCGCAGAGGCAGAGGCAGGCGGATTATCTGTGAGTTCTAGGCCAGCCTGGTCTACAGAAAGAGTTCCAGGACAGCTGGGACTACATAGAGAGACCTTGTCTCAAATAAATAAATAAATAAATAAATAAATAAATAAATAAATAAATAAATAAATAAATAAATAAATAAATAAATATCTTGATGTATCCAGGAAAAGCTGGCTGTCTCACTTGCCCATGAAGCAAGGAACTGTTGAGTACACAACATTCAAGCTGGATTTCCTCACACACTGAGATTATAGAACTGTTTCTCCAAGACAGAACTCTCTTACCTATTGACCTGATAGGAGACTGGTTTCTTAAAAGAGAATACCAGTTATTTTTAGTGATTAATAGACTGGAATTATAATGTTGGTGTGGCTAATTCATCCTTCCCTTTTAGAAAAACACATGAGAAGCCAAGTGTTGTGGATTGAACCTAGCCTCACACAATGGCCAGGCAGATTATCTGCTACTGAGCTATACATAATCTTAACCCTATGCAGAAAGTTTTGGCAAAGAAACCTTCTCTGTGGTTGACCGTGTTATACCATTTTTTAGTTAATGGACTTATAACCAAGAGGCTAACCTTTATCCAAGGGACATTGGGGAGTTACTGAAGAGATTTAGATGGGTTAGATACAACCTAGCGATTTTGAAATGTGCTGTATATGTTGAGTTTCAGAGAAGAGGAGTAGGAATCCAAGGAACACATTTAGGAAACAATTCTAGTAGTCTACATGAGAAATGATGTGCACATAGGGGTAAGAAGGAAAGCACAATCTAGAAAGTATTGAATCTGTACTTACTCCCACTCATACCCCCACTGATTGGTTCATCTGATAGTGTTTTGTTCTCCATATAAAGAAATGTTCCTCACAAAAGAGTTTAGATTTATCCATAGTGCACAGGATAAAGAATTGTGCGTCTATCAATGACCAAACACCATCTCTTTAAGTCTGTGACTTTTATCACAGAAATAGTTATATAATAAATTCATACCAGTTTAAATAAATAAAAGGAGGGGGCGGTTCCCAGCAAACAGTGTCCTTGTAGTCTCTAAAATAGAAAGAAAGGGGTTGGAGAAATAGCTTAGTGGCTATGAGCACTTGCTGCTTTTCCAGAGGACTCCAATTCGATTTCCAGTATCCACATGGCAGCTCACAACCATCTATAACTCCAGTTCCAGGGAATCTGACGCTCTCTTCTGGCCTATGTGGGGATCAGGCACACATGTGGCACACAGATACGCATACAGGCACAACAATAATAAAAACAGGGGAAAAAAAGAGCATTTTGTTTTGGGAAAAAGCAGGTACATCATTCATGCAAAAGAAAATAATGGCTGCATTGGTACTTGGGCTGAGATGTTTCTGTGGACTAAATAGAATTCTCAGTTGAGAAGTGAAAAGTAAACTTCTTGGACTAACTCAAGCATTGTGAAGTGTCTTAAAAGGTTGAGTGAAACCCAGTTATTTACATTTCTATATGTCTTCTCTTTGGGTATAATTGGCACCTGATATTGGTAAAGAATAATTTTTAATGGCCTTTGAAAGCTGGCCATATGATAGCTTTTTGGATACATACAAACAGACATGACAACACATTTGGTTTTGAAAGGTAAATCCAGTTTTATAAATTGTTTAAATTTTCTTAAATTCCACCCTTTTTACATTTCTGTTCTTTAGGTCTGCCAAAATGTCTGAAAGATCAGATCTCCTTCACTTCAAGTTTGAAAATTATGGAGATTCAATGTTACAAAAAATGAACAAATTAAGAGAAGAGAATAAATTTTGTGATGTTACGGTTCTCATAGATGATGTTGAGGTGCAGGGGCATAAAATTGTTTTTGCTGCAGGTTCCCCCTTCTTAAGAGACCAGTTTTTACTGAATGATTCCCGAGAGGTGAAAATCTCCATATTACAGAGTTCTGAAGTGGGGAGACAATTGCTCTTATCCTGTTATAGTGGTATGCTGGAATTCCCTGAGATGGAGCTGGTAAATTACTTGACTGCTGCGAGCTTTCTTCAGATGAGCCACATTGTAGAACGGTGCACACAGGCGCTGTGGAAGTTTATAAAGCCAAAACAACCAATGGATAGTAAAAAGGGATGTGAACCACAGAGTGCGTCTCCCCAGTCGAAAGAACAGCAGGGAGATGCCAGAGGCTCTCCAAAACAGGACTTACCGTGTATTCATCCATCTGAAGACAGTATGGATATGGAGGACAGTGATATTCAGATTGTTAAGGTAGAATCTATTGGGGATGTATCAGAGGTTAGAAGTAAAAAAGATCAGAACCAGTACATTTCTTCAGAACCCACTGCTTTACATTCATCAGAGCCCCAGCACTCCCTGATAAACTCAACTGTGGAAAACAGAGTAAGTGAACTAGACCAGAGCCATCTCCACAATTACGCCCTCTCTTACACAGACAATGATGACATCATCATGACCTCAAAAGATGTCTTTGGGCCTAATATTCGAGGTGTAGACAAAGGCTTACAGTGGCATCACCAATGCCCAAAGTGTACCAGGGTGTTCCGTCACCTGGAGAACTACGCCAACCATTTAAAAATGCACAAACTCTTTATGTGTCTACTCTGCGGCAAGACTTTCACTCAGAAAGGCAATCTTCATCGACACATGCGTGTACATGCCGGAATTAAACCTTTCCAGTGTAAAATCTGTGGGAAAACCTTTTCTCAGAAGTGTTCCTTACAGGACCATCTTAACCTTCACAGTGGAGACAAGCCCCATAAATGTAACTATTGTGACATGGTTTTTGCACATAAGCCAGTTTTGAGGAAACACCTTAAACAGCTGCATGGCAAAAACAGCTTTGATAATGCCAATGAGAGGAATGTGCAAGACCTCACAGTGGATTTTGATTCTTTTGCATGTACAACAGTCACAGACTCTAAAGGTTGTCAACCACAACCTGATGCAACACAGGTCCTGGATGCAGGTAAACTGACCCAAGCTGTCCTCAGCTTAAGAAGTGAGAGTACATGTGTAAACTGAGGAGGGGCCTAGTGCTCACAGCTAGAATCGACTGAGAGTGTGGCAATAGTGCTAAGTCTCTGTAGGAATGGTTTGGATAGCTTCTCCAAAGCCTCCAAGCAAGTGGTTGGGGTTGAGCACGAACAGACCAGGCAGCTCCCACTTGCAGTGGCTTTGCTTTCCTTTAGCCCTCTCCAGGCTCATTGTTGAGTTATTTATCCTGTGATGTCTATTTTCCTTTCCTAAGGAATAATTCCATTTGTCTACCTAGTGTCAATTCATGTCTTAGACTGACACTATTTTAATCTTTTTACCAAGCACACTCTGAAGGTACTAACATAACATCACCTACTTCCCACTAATAGATGCTGTGCTTAGAAAAGTTCATATTCTTCTTTGGGGGAAAATGAGTCTGGGATATGAGGTTATACTGCTGTTGACCTAAATATGTGATAGAGCCTCTGTTGTCTACTATGATTCATCTAAGACTGATGAGTGAGTCTGCTTCCTACCATTTGTACTTTTTTTGGAGCTGCTATGAAGAAGTATATTGGTTTGTACTTTAAACGCTAACACAGTCCATTGAATTATTATAACCCAGAATACAATCCTTTCAGCAACATCTGCAAACAAATAGGGACCACTGTGGGAAGGATAATCAGCAAACAATAGAAGTATAATAAAACAACAGTGGGCACATGGAAGGCCCTAAACCTTATGTTCCACAAGAGACTAGCTGCTTATGTACGTCCCCTGTTTATAATTGGAAGTACTTTGGGCATATTTAAGAGAGCTAAAGAATTATGAATGGTCTTTATAGAAATGGACTATATTGGAATCTGAACTTCATATCAGAGTTTATTACATAAGAAAGGTGAGTTTGGCCATTACTTTTGTGCAGTTTACAGTGTCTCCTGATTTTCCTTTTCTCATGTACCTTCATCTTGAAAACAGATGAAAAAAAATTTAAGTGGGATACAGAAGAACAACCAGAATTTTTGCATTTAGGAAGTCTTAGAGATACAATGATACACTGTCCACTTTGCCACCTTTCATAGTTGATCTTGAAGAATGGAAAAAAACAATTCTTTAAAGTACATTTCAGATATAATTTTGAGCTTGTTTCTGACCCAGGGGTCACAATAAGGTGTAGGATTGCTAGAGAACTTAGAAACTCTTGAAAGATTGTTTACACTATCTCTATCATTTAAGTAGGAACATTCAAATAGGAAGCCTGGCTACCATTGGACAAAATATACCTGACTAAATATGAACGACTATCCCCATACATCTTTTCTGCTATACCTTGGCTTTAAAAGATGGTGAATAATATATTAACAAAGTTTCCAGTTTTGTTTCACTGATGTATATCCCTTTTGGCTTTTGGAGACAGCCTAGGATTTGCCAACAAAATATCACAGAAGGACTTGTGATAATTACTTATTTAAACTGTTTTTATTTTGGTGGCTTGTGCCTGTAATCTCAGAATTTATGAAGTTGAAGCAGGAGGGTTTCTGTAAGTTAGAGGCCAGCCTGGACTAAGACCTAAATAAATATAATTATTTTACTGTATTGGTGCTGGAAGTCAAACCCAGTGCCTCACATGTGCTAGGCAAGCACTGAACCTACCACTAAGGTACAATCCTAGTCTGTTAACTGTTTTTTAGCTAGATGAGTATTATATTGCTATAATACACTACTAAGTGAGTGAGTGGTTTGGGTATGAAGGGAAGGAAATGTTAGAATAATGTGAGATAGATCCAAATGTGAAACTGATTTTGTCTGAGAAACTTTATTCCCAGTAGACTTTTGTTTTTATTTTTGAGCTATGAGAGTACATGCACAGATAATCCAAAAACTAAACTTAATTTATATATAGATGGCAGGAGGTCTTAATTTGTTATAATTTGATATATTTACACATTGCTCAGATTTGAGGCATAATTTCTACTAAATATTTAAATAATAATACAGTTAACTAATAAGACTTGTAGGTAGTTTATGCCCAACACCACTCATTATATGGTCTAATAGTGCTTTCTAGCATTCTGAATTTTAGTGAGTCATCCAAAGAGCACCAATTCTATGTAACAATGGGACTTTGCCATGCCATCCAATGTTTTGATTATTTTCTTAGAAACTTTTTTTCAGTAGGAACATTTCAAAATCTCGGGGCTCCACATGTTATTATTCTTATCCAGTTACTGTTAGTAGCTTGAGGACTAAAAACAGCATGGGTTCAAATAATACTCTTCTCCTTTGTTGGAGGCTATATCTTGATTTATTTCCATCATTCAGAAGCCTTTTCTTTTTTTAAATGCTGGGGAGTTTGTACCAAGGCCTCAAGCACGTTGAGCATGTTCTCTGTGACTGAGCTACTCCCACAGCCTCAAGAAACATTAATGAGCAAGTGGTATTTCCAGGCAATATGTTAGATTCTGAAGATAGGGAGGTAAGATTGATATGATCCCTGTTGTTATAGGACTTACAGTGTCAAGTGATTTTAGTGAGATAAGATCTCCAATTTATTTCATAACTAAGAATGACTGCCTTGTTTTCTTTCATCATTTAAAGCAGTAGTTCTCCACTGGGGGCAGAGGAGCTTGAATGACCCTTTCACAGGGATCGCCCAAGACCATCAGAAAACACAGATATTTACTTTATGAGGAACTAGATTAAAGGTTCGCAGCATTAGGAATGTTGAGAACCACTGACTTAATGTCAGCTTTCTTAGGGTTTTCTTTTACTAAAATTTTTACTTCTCACTGTTGCAAGTGCAAACCACTTACCTAATTTATGGTCTCTTCCATTTGTTGGCTGGAGAGGTCTTATTTCCGTGAGACATTTAAATTGTTGGGACTTGGGTTTCTTTTGCTTTGTCAGATTTTATTGCAAAGAGGTCAAGTTATTTTATAGTGGAAGAGGTTTTTAAACACTAGTCGTGGTTTTATGGAGTCGGGTGTAAACCTTAGTTACTCAGCATTCGGGTCTTTTTTATTTGAGGCAGGTTCTCACTATGCACCCTTTGCTGCCTCAGCCTCCCGAGTGCTGGGATTAAAGACATGTGCCACCATGCCAGGTTCAATATTTGTGTTGTATGGATTCCTAGGAAAACTTCAAAAGGAAGAGGACTCTCTTTACTGTAGTTTGGTTTTTTAAAAATTACTGTTATTTATTTATTTAATATTAAAACAAGCTCCAAACTGAAGTGGCTGTGAGGTAAATCAGGTGTGTGAAAGGTGGCTGGTGTCACCATTTCTAAAATACTGTCCTAAACAAACAACTTAGAACATTTTATTTCAGCTCATGAATGGCTGTTCTAAATCTGTTGTATGTTAGACATACTTTGAACTACCTCTTTACTTAAAATGGGGAAGTTTCCTTAATAAAAGTGTGACAATTAAACTGGTGTCATTGACTTATTTTCTTACTCTCTTCCCTCCTTTCTCAGTTGCTTGGATTTAAATTCAAGAATGTTTCAATTCTTTTTTGTTGTTGTTTTTATTTCAAGACAGTTTCTCTAAGAGTGTAACAGCCCCAGCTATCCTGGGATTTGCTGCCTCTGCCTCCTGAGTGCTGGGATTAAAGGCATGTGCCACCACTGCTCGGGGAATGGTTTTATTCTTTAAAACACATCTTAAGGATTGTTGAGGGGCTGAAAAAAATGCAATTTATTAATAGACCCTGGGTTTGATCCTCAGCACGAGGGGAAATTTTGATATTTCCTTTTGAAGAAAGTATGGGTTAACCAGAAATTAGTTATTAGTAGAGACAGTTATTTCTTTATGAAGCTGCTGAGAATACAGAATTCCAGTTTCAGGGCTGGTGTGTGTGACTCACTGTTAGAGTGTTTGCCTAGCATTCCAGCAGCCTGGGCTCTGTTCCTGGCAACAGACGAACAAAAAAATCTTCACTCTGCAAATAGGAGCTTTCTGAATACTAAATTCTGCGAGTGCAAACATAGGTACATATTGCCCTGATTAATCTTTCTCCCTTGAAGTGGCTTATATTTCGATGTAGGTTCAGTTTTGAAGATAAATAATTTACAACTGGATCCCAACTTATTGAGGAGCAACTTAGAGATCATTTGTAATCAGTATAAACCGTTTTTGAAGGGCAAATGGCAAAGCAGTGTTTTGCGTTCGAAAGGCCCAGTGTTCAATCACCATCACCCAAAGAAAGGGAAAATCCGCTGGGCAAAGTAGTAGCACTGTCAGAGGCAGGCTGTCTAAAGCAGGGCAAGGAGGGGGAGGGCGGAGACACCGGGGAAGCTGCACCCCAGTGCACAGGGGCTGGGGCCATCCCCAATACTCAACCGCGAGTTCCTTTCCTCCGGCCCCGCCCCTCAGCTCGTCTGCGCTTCCGGTCTTGAACGCGCTTCACTCACTACAACTATCTTTACAGCGAAGCGGGAACGGTCAGAAAAGACCCGGCAGGCCGGTATTCTGACTTTTTCTGTCATTCCAGGAACGGACAAAGTGAGGAAGAAAAAGCAGCTCAGGATGTCCTTCCGGGGCGTCCAGACACTCTTCCTGTACAATAAAGCTAGTTGACACCGGAAGCGTTTCCTCCCGGGATAAGGTCCATCTTCCGGCCTGGGCCGCCGTTGCCGAGGAAGCCTCCCAGCCAGTTTTGCGAGTCGGTAAGTGAAAGTGAGGGAGACACCCCTGGGGGGTGAGGCTAGGGGACGACGCTGCTCGGGAGCGCATCCGGGCGCGGCCTGCGCCTCAGCCGCAGCCTGGCACGGTACCCGCCTGCCCGGCCGGGCCTTGACCTGAAGGCTGGGCGTGGGAACCGTGTGCGTGCCGGAGGGAGTTGGCCGTCCCTCCGCCTGGGATTGCTTTCAGCTCCTGCTGCTGTGTGTGGGCCGCCGTGATCACTGGTGAACCCAGAATCAGGAGCAAAAGACTCAGGGAGACGAGGAGTCACGTTACTCTCTGGTTTGGGTTCAGCGGAGCTAAAGCACACATTGGGAAATGGAGCAGGAAGCGTGAATGTAATAGATCGGCAGATGGGGTGTTGGCATGGTTTTAGCTGTACAGTGATGAGTATATGAAAAACGAACCAAGATCGATCTGTAAAAGGTGGGGTACAGTGAAATCCTGAAGGAGTTTGCATTCTTTATAAGAATGAAAGGCTGTCCAGGAAGTGGGGGGAACGATGGGCTTAAAGCAGAAGTGGTTTTTTTGTTGTTGTTGTTGTTTTCCTTTTTCTTTCTCCTTTTTTAATAATGTTAATTCCGGTGGGAATTCAGGATGGTAGTTCAGAATATTTAAAGAGTTCTTTGTCAGGAGACCTGTTGAAAGTCATTACAATGGTCAAGGCAGGACTAGGAATTTTTAATAGTGGTGGGTAATAGGCAATTTATAGATTACGTTTTTTAATTTAAGATGTTAAGTGTACTTTTTTGTTTCACTGTACCCATTACTGGTATTTAAAGATTATGTACCATGAGATGATACAGAAATGCATTATGACTTTCTGGATTTATATATAGGTGGTGATTTGGGGACAGATTCACTTCTAGCACTCAAAGTAGAGTTTAGGTCTTTATTTTTCCCAATACACGTTGGGAAGGCGGGGTTGGGGGGTGGGGGGCTCTTTACTATAATAATGAGGGGAAGCATTGTCTATCCTGTATCAATGGTTGTGCTCTGTTTTGCATAGATTGTGACCATGGCCGCTGAGTCTGATGTTCTACACTTCCAGTTTGAACAGCAAGGAGATGTGGTCTTACAGAAAATGAATCTCTTGAGACAGCAGAATTTATTTTGTGATGTATCGATTTATATTAATGATACTGAGTTCCAGGGGCACAAGGTGATTTTAGCTGCTTGCTCCACTTTCATGAGAGATCAGTTTCTACTCACACAGTCAAAACATGTCAGGATCACCATTCTGCAGAGTGCAGAAGTTGGCAGAAAGTTGTTGCTGTCCTGCTATACTGGAGCACTTGAAGTGAAAAGGAAAGAGCTTTTGAAATACCTGACTGCTGCCAGTTACCTCCAGATGGTTCACATTGTAGAAAAATGCACAGAAGCTTTGTCCAAGTATCTGGAAATTGATCTTTCTATGAAAAATAACCAACACACTGACTTGTGTCAATCTTCGGATACAGATGTTAAGAATGAAGAAGAAAATTCTGATAAAGACTGTGAGATAATTGAAATTTCAGAAGATAGTCCTGTAAACCTAGATTTCCATGTTAAAGAAGAGGAAAGCAACACATTACAGTCTGCCGTAGAGAGGTTGACATCAGAGCGAAGGGGAATGACGTCACCAGAGCTCTCTACAGTAGATAGTGGTTTTAAAGAGAATGAAATTTGTATCCTCCACGTAGAATCGATCAGTACAGATGGTGTAGAGAATGAGCAGTTTCCACAGCCTTGCACCTCATCCAAAGCAAGCATGTATTTCCCTGAAACACAGCATTCACTGATCAATTCTACAGTTGAAAGCAGAGTGGCAGAAGTTCCTGGAAATCAAAATCAAGGATTATTTTGTGAGAATACTGATGGAAGTCATGGTACAGTAAATGAGATCCAGAATCTAGATGAGAGTTTTTCATTGAGGCACCAGTGCCCCAGGTGCCCAAGGGGCTTTCTTCATGTAGAAAACTATCTGCGTCACCTTAAGATGCATAAACTGTTCTTGTGCTTGCAGTGTGGGAAAACATTTACACAGAAGAAAAATCTCAACCGGCATATACGAGGACACATGGGTATACGACCTTTTCAGTGTACCGTGTGCTTGAAGACCTTTACTGCTAAAAGCACACTTCAGGACCACTTGAACATACACAGTGGGGACCGGCCGTATAAATGCCATTGTTGTGATATGGATTTCAAACACAAATCTGCTCTCAAAAAGCACTTAACCTCTGTTCATGGCAGAAGTAGTGGTGAAAAACTATCTAGGCCTGATCTCAAAAGGCAGAATTTACTGTAATCAAATCAGGAACTTGGGACGAATGCATAGAATCACTCTGTTAGGCATGTCTGTTTTTAAAGATGCAGTGTTGGTAGTGTGCCTCCCTGCCAATCTTTAGCTTTCATTTTTGTTCTTCCTACGTGTTATTCATCCTGAATTTCTAATAGTTCCGAAATTGTGAATGAAGTAATTAAGTTTATGGGATTAAGTCTATGTTGTTTCAAACATTAGTTACTAGCCTTCTGTTCAGCAGTAATTGTAGATTCTGACTTGTAGTTTTTAGATTAGTGATTTAATGTTGAATCTCACTATAATAAGTTTAATGAGTTAGAATGACAAGAAACTAGATTTGAAAGTATAGTGTTGTCCATTACTATTAATTTTGATAACATGTAGGACTAACAGGTTTCTTTTTAATGTTTAACCAGTGTACTTGGATTGTAGCTAGAACACCAAGTTATATTCAGATTCACATGGGACCAGCAGATTGTCCTTAGAATTGCATTATTAAAATATCCAAGAGAATATGTAATAGACCGTATCCCTGATTACATATAATATAGTTGGATTAAGAACTCTGTGGCCAATGCAAGTATTTTCTTGGCTTAGATTGGAAAGTTTCATTTCTTTTCTTTTTGGTTTTTCGAGACAGGGTTTCTCTGTGTAGCCCTACCTGTCCTGAACTTGCTTTGTAGACCAGGCTGGCCTCAGATTCACAGAGATCCTCCTGCCTCTGCCTCCCAAGTGCTAGGATTAAAGACATGCACCACCATGCCCAGCTGCAAGTTACTTTTCTTAAATATTCCAGTTTAAGTAAAGACCAGTTCTACTGTTTACTTAGGATTTTTTGTTTTGTTTTGGTTAACATGCACTAAAATTGACCTTTCTCTGAGGAGTTATTTTTCTACGAATTTAACACATAGAATACTTGTCTGCAGCTGGGACACAGAATAGTCCCACCCCCTTCTGTAGGGCCTTATGCTGCTCCTCGTATCGTCCACTCTTCCGACTCTACATTCTAGTAAGAGCTCTTCACTATAGTTTGTTCAAATCTGGGGTGACATAAAACTGGGATCTTCTAGTATGTTTCCTTTTGATACTTTTTTTTTATACAACATAATGCCTTTAAGCTTCATTTATGTGTGTATTAACAAGTTACTTTTTTTTTTTTTTCTTTTTTTTTTTTTTGGTTTTTCGAGACAGGGTTTCTCTGGGTAGCTTTGCGCCTTTTCCTGGAACTCACTTGGTAGCCCAGGCTGGCCTCGAACTCACAGAGATCCGCCTGGCTCTGCCTCCCAGTGCTGGGATTAAAGGCGTGAGCCGCCGCCGCCGCCGCCGCCGCCACCGCCACCGCCACCGCCACCACCGCCTGGCAACAAGTTACTTTTTTATATCTCTCTTTTATTTAACTTTTGACGTGATTTGTATAGCCCAGGTTAGCTCAAATTTGCTTAACTTCTTAACACTGGGATTATGCTTGGCCTCTTTTATGTTTTGAATTGCCTATATATACATTTTCTCTTCAAGCAATCACCAGGTGAATAGTTTAAATTTAGAAAGCTACTATATTTAGTTACAATGTCTCATTATATGAATACCTCTAAATTCAAAACTTTTTTGCCCTTAGAGTGAAGAGCAAAATTCACTGCAGGGCAGATCCCTTTCCCTGACTGTAGGAAGCACTCAAAGTGTCTTATTTCTCTTCATAACTCAGCTCTGTGTAGAGTTTCTGCTGTAATTAAGTTCTGTTGACACTCAGTTTGGTGTTTTAACTTGTAATATACTTTGTACTATAAAAGAGTTTTGAAAATCATATGTGTTAAATACAGTTTTTGTAATACTTTTGTGGGAATAATGCTCTATGTAGAATCTGAACTCTGGGAGAGACTTTAAAGAATCTGTGTCTCACAATTGACTTCATAACCCAAGTCACTAATTAATGACATCAAGCAGGTCACTTGTCTTTCAACCTTTCTTAATTTTATATAAAATAACTTTGATCTTCATAATTTGTAGAATAATTTCTAGATTATTTAAATTCTTTAAAGTTAAATATGTAAATTATTTCTAAATTTCTACAAATTTATATTCATGTGAACAGAGGAGACATGTATGTCTTTATGAATACTGCTATTTGAGTACTTTCTTGGAGACAGAACTTTTCTAAGGTAAACACTTTGTTCCAGTAGATAATGGACCAGTTTAGTGGTTAATTTCCTTACCTACATGATTTAAGAATGGTCAGTTATAGTTGTGAAAACATTTCCCTCTGAGAAATTGTTTACTCGAGACTGAAGTGCTTCTCTTAATTTTGTTTCCTGAGTGATTTTGGAGGGGAGGGCTGGGGATGGGTGGAGAGGGTAAACTATAGTGAAAAAGTGATTTTTTTTTTTTTTTTAAGGAAGTGGTATCTACTATACTGGATGTTTGGGACATTTCGATTGAAGGTGTTTTAAGTTTGATTTGTGCCTTGTAAGATTGTTGTAAAAAATTTTGTGAGCACTTTGAAATTTTTGCTTGTGGGGAGGGTATTTTATAAAGTGATTGTTATTTATACTATTTATTTCTGTTATGTGCACAGGTTGATTTCAAAACATTCCTAGGAGTTGGGTGAAGTGCACACATGCCTGTCTGTAATCCCAGCACTTGGGAGGTTGAGGCAAGAGAATCAATTCAGGGCTAGCCTTCATTACATAGCTAAGTTTGAGGCCAGCCTCAGCTACAGGAGACCTTGTTTCATGAAATACAAAAAACAAAAAAGTAAACAAACAAAAAACATTCCTGGGAGAGTGTCTGTTTGCATGACATGTCTGAAAAATTCAGCAGAGTAGAATCAGGTAAAATATGCAGGTATGACAAAGTGTAGCATTTATTAATTTTTAAATACTTTTAGCTGTTTATGACAGAAAAATATGTTTGGGTTGAGTCTATTTACTGCATTTGTATATGTAAAAGATCTTAAAAGGTAGTTATTTTGTTGCTGAGAAAAATCCTTTTCTCTTTTCATTGGATGCAATTATGTTTGCATAAAACATAATAAACTGGAAGTGAGAATGGAGAACTTTGGGCTTGTGTATTTCTATGAATTTTAAAGGACTCAGGTTAGGAAATGTATAAATATAAATTTTCTCATCGCTCTCCATTTGAAAATACAGAAATGTACACATGATGGGACATTTTCTTTATTGATTAGCATAATTGAATGAAAATAGGAATAACAAGGGGAAGTAAGATCGATGGGGGCCAATGAATCTTTCACAAAAATCCTGTTCTTGTCACACTTGCCAGCATGTTTGGGTCCTCTCCCTGAGCTACAGCTGCAGGCAGTTGTGAGCTGCTGTGGCTATGGAGGGTGTGTGTATGTGTGTGTGTGTGTGTGTATACAAATATTGGGGTGTGGGGAGAAATCTTCCTGTCTGATTCTGCCCCAGCCTTTCAGTTGTTGGGTTCACAGTCATGCACCATCACACCTGGCTTACAAATCATGTATTTTGAAGGCTCATTATCAGTCACTTTTCCATATTCTAATTTATGTACAGGTAACTATCACAGGTTTTTTTTTTTTTTTAACATCTCATTTTACATTGGAAAATGTGAGTTCAATTACAAAGCATAACCATTAACTTTTATTCCTCAGTTTTTTTCTGGAGCTGAGGACCGAACCCAGGGCCTTGTGCTTGCTAGGCAAGCGCTCTACCACTGAGCTAAATCCCCAACCCCTTTCTGCGGTGTTGGATAGAGATGGAATTCAGGCCTTTGTTTTTTTTTTTGTTTGTTTGTTTGTTTGTTTGTTTTGTTTTTCGAGACAGGGTTTCTCTGTGTAGCTTTGTGCCTTTCCTGGATCTCACTCTGTAGCCCAGGCTGGCCTCGAACTCACAGACATCTGCCTGGCTCTGCCTCCTGAGTGCTGGGATTAAAGGCGTGCGCCACCATCGCCTGGCCTCCTCAGTTTTACATCATTAACAAAGGTTACACGGTATCAATCTTTTAGTATTTGGTAAGTAAATTTATAAATAAAACTAAAATGCTTTTAAATTATCACTTTTACGGCCTGGCATATAGTAGTTCATAATTGTTGCTTCCCTCGTCCTTATTCTCAGTGTTTATCATTTATAAGAACAGAGGGTAATTCCCACCTTACAGTTTGCTATAAATCAAAGTGCCGAAACTCATAAATTGTCCTTACACCCTTTGGGGGCACTTGGGATTTTAAATGAGGTAGGTGGGTCCGCCAAACAAACGTTTCCCTTTGGTCCTGGTGAACTGGAATATTATTTGCTAACCTAGTCAGTATCTCACAAGAGTGTGCAGCAGGGTGTACCAGGGACGTATCAGGTGCTGCTCGACACACAAGCCGCCTGGCTCAGCGTTTAGGTGGCTGTGCGGGGAGTTTCCCATAAGTCTCTTTGGCTTGCCTAGTCCTCACAGCATCTCCCACAGTACTCTGGGGCTCCTTTGTCATGTGACGAGGCTGGATTTCTTCAGCGTGTAACTGATGCGCAGTTTAGGTGGCCGGGGCCACTACGCTTCCCTTCCACCCCAACTCCCGGGCTTGCGTAATCTCGCGTGAAGTGAACAGTATCATCTCGCGAGAGCTAAGTCGGGATCCCTCCAGGTCCGCCTCCGTGGTGAGGAGGAGGAGGAGAAGGAGGAGGAGGCGGAGGGAGGGAGGAGGAGGAGGCCCCGCCGCGGCCTTCGCCGCCGCCAACGGGGCTGTCCCTGTAGCTCCCGATGGAGTTTGAGGCCCTGAAACCGCCGCCGAGCTCTGCCCCGGCGAGACGAGGCGCCTCCGTCGCCGAGCCGCGCCGTCGCGGGGCCCCCGGGAGCGGCCCTTAGCGACCCCGCCCGGGCCCCTCAGGTAGGGCGGGGGCGGGCACGATGCGGCTGTGGCCCCGGCCGGCTGCCCGGTCCCCAGAGGTGGGGCGGGGAGATGTCTCTGCCCGGCGGCCTGTGCATGGTGGCCGCCGGTGCCCCGAGGGTTGGGGACCGCGGGCCGCACCTGACACTCGGCGGAACCCGGGCCCCGAGGAGGCCCCTCGCCCCGGTAGGGCTTTTTGATGAGAAGCGAAACGCTCCAATGGCCACCCTCCTCTCACAGCGGCTGAAGGGTCGGCCCTGACCACTGAGGAGCCCACCTGAGCAGAGGCCGGCTTCTTTCTTTGCTTACCCCAGTTGGGAAGAGGGGCTTCCGAAGAGGTCCCGGGGATCACGTCCGTCCTAGCATTTCCTCTTTGAGCCTCGGGGCTTACCGAGACCCCAGCGCGAGGATGGTGGAGGCGATCTGCGTGGGGTAAATAGGGACCCTGGCCAAACAATGCCCACCGAGGGTTTCACCTCCCTGGAGGGAGATGGCTGGACCAGAGAGGGTGCGCAAGGGATGTGACTAGGAGCCATGGCATGAAGCACAGCCAGGGAATTCTGCTCTGCCTTTCTTTCCCTCTTTCGTCTTATTTTCCTTGGGGAAGCCTCTTGAGGAGACTCTTCCACCATCTTAGGAGAATGGTAGAAAGCATCTTTGTTTGTCAGAGAAACAGCTGTACTTTTCTCTGTCCTTAGCCTTCAGGAAGGAAAGAGATAAGGATAGCTGTCATTTCCATCCTTGAAATCACCAGAGTTTTTAGATACTGGCAGGCACAGACTTCACACCAATATAGCCACAAGTAATCACAGACATAATCAAATCCAGTGGTTCTCAACCTGTTTATATTTTTGTTCAAGCTCTACCACAGGTTTGTTTTTTTTTTTTTTAAATCCGACTGCCCTCTTACCTAGGACCCTTTTTAGTAATTTCTTCCTACCTTGACCTGCTGTGATTAGTGACTTTGTATCTCAAATAAAGTGTTTAAGTAATGTTACCATCGTTTTTTATTAGTCACACTTTAAAGTTCCAGTAAAAAACAAAACAAAAAAAAAAACCTTTTAGTTAACCTGAGAAAGCTAATAACGACACACTAAAGTGATATAATTTGACCCAGAAGGAAAAAAACAAATGTTTTAGTTGGTGGGTCCAGTCTTTTTATAGTGGAATGTATACACAGCCTAAGACTTGGAATCATCAAGAATAGTTTGTAAATCCCCTCATTTCCACCTTTTATCTGGTTAAAAAAATACTACATCACTACTAACTTAAGTTGTTTACTAACACAGTCCATTCTTGAAAAAATAGAGGCCATCACATCCTATTAAAAGCTATTTTCCAGTACTACCAACAATTGTTGTTGTTTTTGATTTGGAGATGCTTGTTTCCCCAAATTTCAGAGTTTGGAAAATTGCAAGAAGAACAAAACGTTAAATATATTTACCGGTCTTGTTTAGAAAAGGCAGGGACCAAATTCAAACAGGCGTTTATTCCTTGAGAATCTATCTGCAGTCTAGTTCATTAGTGGACCCTTTGAATTATTCTTGATCTGTTATTATTGTGTTAGTCTGACATGCAAGAAGACTCAATGTTCGTTGTTCATGTTTTCATTAATTCACTTTCTATGTTTGTCATTTGCTGCCTTCCAGTTGGCAAAAGCATTTTTCTCTACCCTTAGGACTTTATATTTAAGACTAGAACCTCTACGTTGTGTGTGATGGCTAAGAATGCTATAAATTTGTTAACAAGGTTGTTGGTTTTTTTTTATTAATTTGTTTTGTCTCATTTTTTTAGACATGATCCCCTCTATGTAGCCCTGACTGTCCGGGAACTCACTATGTAGACCTCTGCCTCTGCTCTATGTGTGCTGAGACTAAAGGCGTGCACCACCATGCCTGGCGGTAACAAATTTGTAATAAGTACTTGCTTATTTTGGTTGGACTGGGTTGAAGTTTCACTTTGTAGTGTTGGAAAAAGGAAGTTTATGGAAAAATAAAGCTAATTGGAAATTAAAAATGAATTGTACCCATTCTCATGAATGTTGTTGATTTCATCTTTGTGGTCAAGTTTTCTAATTCCATGAAAACCTTAAGTGTGTGACTTTTATCTCAAAATTCTTAATAAAAATTATATTTTGAGTATTACTTTATAATCATTTGTAGTCTAGATTTACCTGTACTACCTGATAGTCACATGTGACAATTAAGGACTTGAAATGGAGCTAGTGTAACTTGAAATGTGTTGTGAAGTGCAAAAGTTATACCATATTTCAAAGACTTATTGGAAAATTCTATAACATTTTAATGTTTAAGTTTTTATGTGATTGCAGGTTAAAATGATATTTTACTTGTTAGGTTATATAAAATGTACCACTAAAATTGACTCACCTAGTATATTCTTTTTCCTTTTTTAAAATTTGACAATCAGAAATTATAGGTTTGTTTTGTTTATTTGATTCAGGGTCTCATTCTAACCCAGGTTGGCTTGGAACTCACTGTGTAGCCTAGGCTAGCTTGAACTTGGCCATCCTCTTGCCTTGAACTTCCTGAATACTTAAAGTCTGCCACATAGTGACACAATAAATAAATAAATAAATAAATCAGTCATCTGCCACATAGTGACACAACAAATAAATAAATAAATACATGCAGAGCCAAAAACTTTCCTGATAATATGCTTTTAGAAGCAGAATAATTAGAGAGCTAAGGACTTTAGTAATGAACAAGATAAGGTTATCTAGTATAGAACGTATAATTAAGTTCCATCACAAAGTATTCTTTCAAAACTAGCCATCACTAAAGAAGTAGAACTTTGTTAGTTAAAATTGCAAGTTTTTTTCCTTATTAGAATGCATTGAAAGTTCTATCTTACTTTAAAAACTTGGTTCAACCCCTAATTTGAGGGGTAAAACTTGATCTCATCCATTTCATAGCTTTAAACAAAATAGCAGTTTTTTACATTGTGATACAGCTCCTTTTTTCTCCAAACTCTGTTGTACTTGAGTTCTGAGGGGTAGAATTTGCAGGTAATTTCCCTTAGCTTTTGCTTGTTTGCTTGTTTTTAGATTAAGTCTTACATTGTACTTCTGATGCCTTCAGTCTGATTTTAAATCTAAAGCTGTGTTTTGTTTTGTTTTGTTTTGCAGTACCGGGGATTGAATTTAAAGCTTCACAAACATTAGGCAAGTGTTCTACCACTGAGCCACATCCCTGACCAAAGCTAATTATTTTAATATGTTCTATATAGGGAAGTACTGGTATAGTCCATTTCAGTAGCTTATAGTACTCAAATGTAAATAATAATTTTTAAAAAGTATATTTTTATGAACAGAATTATAAAATGCTGTATGTTAACACAATGCAGTGAAAAAGGAATATATACTCTACTCTGACATTTTAAAAGTAAATGTTGTCCTGAACTGATTGTGTAATATAAGTAACAAAAAATGGAAGTGTTTAGCTGGTATGCTGTTTATTTTGGTAAAGAAGTTTCTCATTTGCATCTTCAAGACAAGTCAGTTACTCTTTGTATATCCTAAGTTTGGACTCACCGCAAGGATCTGAGACTGTTTCAGATTCCACCTCTAAGTTAGCCTTTTTATTCCTATGCTTTAGCTTATGCTTTTTCCTTTTTTTTTTTTTTTTTTTTTTTTTTTGGTTTTTTGAGACAGGGTTTCTCTGTGTAGCTTTGGAGCCTGTTCTGGATCTCACTCTGTAGACTAGGCTGGCCTCAAACTCACAGAGATCCTCCTGGCTCAGCCTTCTGTGTGCTGGGATTAAAGGCATGTACCACCACTGCCCGGGCAACTTAGCTTTTTCAATTTTTAAAACTAGTTACTAAACTTAGTAGGCATCTAGACTTTTGAATCCATTTTACCCTGGACTTGAAACATTTGGAAAGTATATTTAGAGAGAAGTACTTCTAGTCACTGTAATTGTTAGCAGCAGTTAAGATAACCACTGAATCAATTGTTAAAATGCATCACTATAAGCCTAAAAGTTCTATAAATTAATACAGCTATCTTTCTATTGTTTATATTTTTCTCTTAAGAATATAATAGGATATCTATCATTTTGGGCAGTTGTAAAAAGTATTTTGTAGATAAGCTTAAGAAGTATCTTTTACCTGGCTTAGTTGCACACACCTTTAATCCCAGTATTTGGAAGGCAGAGGCAGGCGGATCTCTATGAGTTTAAGGCCAGCCTGGTCTACAGAGCAAGTTCCAGGGTGGCTAGAGCTAAACAGAGAAACCCTGTCTCAAAAAATGAGAAGAAAAAAAAAAGTACCTTTTAACAGAGAGTTGAAATTCCAATTTTGTCACTAATTAAATATTTTAATGGGTTTTACAAGTTTCTATGTTGTAGATAAAAATCTTAATTTCTTATTTGAGTAACTTAAAATTTGTTGATTGATTACAGTACTGAAGGAAAACATTCTTAAAAATGAAATCATTTATAAGGAAAGTTTAGTTCATAAGTTTGCTGTTAGAATCTGGCATACAGCAGGGGGAAAACTCAATAGTTATTGTCAAAGTTTGATTTAGAGCTTTTCTTTACATTTTAGAGGCATTTATTTAGTTTCCAAATATGAACTAGACTTGTCAGCAATATTAAAAGCTCTGATGTATATCCATATATAATTACAGAACTGTCAGGTGCATTTGGAGCACTGTCCTAATGGTTTTAGAAAACCAAGGAGAGTTAGTTCTTAGTCTGTTGATGCCCCAGCAGCCTGTAATAGCCTAACTCAGTTAGGATCTGTCTGAAAAATATCACTTCATGTTATTAATTCAGAGCTCCAGTTGTAGATTTAAAATGAAATTCATCTTTTTGCCTGGATTTATGATTCTGCAGCCAGAAAACAGAACATCCAATATGTTAGTTTCAAGGAGGGTTTGCTCACCTGCTTATTGCCAGTCTCTAAAGTTGGAAGCAGACTAGCTGGTGTTAGATTGGAGGCTCTAATCAGTTTGGTAATTTGAGGATAAAGTGTAAAATAATAATTTGAAAATTTTGAGTTACTTAGACAAAAATATATTTATAGTAATATGTAATATTTTTCTTCATTAAAGCTGTTTAGTAAAGATTTGTGTATTGTATGGGATGCTTTTTTTTATATGGGAAGACCTGTAATTTATGTTTACCAAATAATTTTTAATTTTTTTTAAAAGTATTAAAGTATAGTAAGAGCCACTAGAGTTTTTGTTTGTTTGTTTGGGGTGCTGGGGAGTGCTTGTTCATGTTTCTCCTGATGCTGATTACTCTTTCAAGCATCTAGTGTTCTGTATGTCTAGTGCATTTGGTTGTTAAACATTTGTATGAAATAAAGTATTGGCTGTTCAATTACTCCAATTACCTAGATTTGTTGTTTTACCAGATGGCCTTTGTCACACTTACATTAGGTTTTTGTTTTTGTTTTTCGAGACAGAGTTTCTCTGTGTAACAGTCCTGGAGCTCTGTAGATCAGGTTGTAGACCAGGCTGGCCTCACAGAGATCTGCCTGCCTCTGTTTCCCAAGTGCTGTGATTAAAGGCATTTGGCACCACTGCCTGGCTTTACATAGTTTTAAATTGGAAAATATTGAGGATTTATGAATTAAGTGGTATAATTTAGATTTTGATTCTTGTTTTACTGAATGCTATGCAACTACTAAACAAGAAAATATATGAGATGATTCCCTCATAGTTATTTTTCTATGTGCCTACTATAATTAGTGCAAAGATAGAAATTTTATATTTTGCTTTTTTTCTGTTTAGAATTATTTGAAGAGAATAATGTTTTATTTCTCTAAGTCAGCTCTATTGGATTTGACAAGTTCGGATACAGACATGCACTTACTTTTGTCAAAAGTATTATAATGTACTATGACAAAAAAATTTAGATAATTTAAGCCGGGCGGTGGTGGCACACACCTTTAGGCCCAGTACTCAGGAAGCAGAGCCAGGCGGATCTCTGTGAGTTGGAGGCCAGCCTGGTCTACAGAGCGAATTCCAGGAAAGGCACAAAGCTACACAGAGAAACCCTGTCTTGAAAAAACAAAAGAAAGCTGGGCAGTGGTGGTGCACGCCTTTAATCCTAGCACTTGGGAGGCAGAGGCAGGCGGATCTTTGTGAGTTCGAGGCCAGCCTGGTCTACAGAGCTAGATCCAGGAAAGGCGCAAAGTTACACAGAGAAACCCTGTCTTGAAAAAACAAAAAGAAAAAAGAAAAAAACAAAAGAAAACAACAACAAAAAAATTTAGATAATTTTTTGGTTTGGGTGTTTTTGTCCATTTTACTTTGTCAGGAGTGAGTTGCATGTAACACTGCATGTTAATGGACAGCTTGTGGAAGTTGGTTCTCTCCTTTCAGTGTTGGTCCTAAGGATTGAATGTCAAGCTTAGCATCAAGGCCTTTACCTGCTGAGCCATCTTAATGACCTAGGCAATATTTTCTCTGCGTTAGTTGGGCATCATTCTTTCATTTACAGGCAACACTTGTGTCATCACAGTCTTGTCTGTAGATTTTCAGTAACTCACTTAGCTTCTGAGGCACATCCTAACCATAGACTTCCTCCTTCAGGTACCAAAGTGACATTTTCATACTGAAGTGTAAAGTGTTGTTTGTTGTGATGGTTGTGGTGCTAGGAATTGAATCAGGGCTTCCTGCCTGCTGAGCAGACAATTTATAACTGAGCTACATCCCCATCCCTACGGTGTTGTTTTGGTCAGTAGTTTCTGAAGCGTACTAGCTGTTAAGCCATATCTGTATATTTTGAGGTAGTGGTTATCCAAGGAAAATATTTCAAACGTTAACAGTGTTGTAGTTTGTGTTCTTAAAGACAGAGTGTAAAAGGCAGTCGAGATGGTAAAGATGTTTACTGCCAAACTCAGTGAGCTGTGCTCTATCCTCAGATCCCACATGGTGGAAGGAGAAAACTGACTAGCATGTCATGACATGCATGGGCCCACATACATACCTATAAACACACACTCGTTCAAATAAAAACATTAAATGTAATAAAAAGTAGAATGAGTAAACATGTTTTGGTCACTAAGAAAAATACACAAAGGTTTTGTTTACTATTACATGAACAATCAGAGTTTAGTTGAAAGGAATAATATTAATAAATTGTTTCTGGGTAAATTTTCAAAATTAATTCAATATATATTGTTATTTTTGTAGAAACATCTAAAGCCTATATTCAAAACTGTTTCAGATTCTGCAGTGATAGTAGTTGATTTTAACAGTTAACTGAATGACTAATAAATATATCATTAATTCTTACTTTTGTCTATTTGCAGCTTATAAAACACTACACAGCAAAATAATGATCTGCTAGACTGCTAACACGAGCATCAGCTTCCACAATGCCTGTGCAGGCAGCTCAATGGACAGAGTTTCTGTCCTGTCCAATCTGCTATAATGAATTTGATGAGAATGTGCACAAGCCCATCAGTTTAGGTTGTTCACACACAGTTTGCAAGACCTGCTTGAATAAACTTCACCGAAAAGCGTGTCCTTTTGACCAGACTGCCATAAACACAGACATTGATGTGCTCCCTGTCAACTTTGCACTTCTTCAGTTAGTTGGAGCCCAGGTAAGTGTCCAGTATTTTTACTGATTTAGTCTATCAGTTGTCAAAATTAGTTCATCAGCCAGTACAGCATATGTTGAATGGTATTTAAAACCTAAAAGGTATTTACTTTTTGTGATGTGTTCCTAAAACAATTTTTCTTAATGTTATAAATTCTTATGCAAAATAATGAATCCCATTACAGTTACATATTTCTTTATTTTCTTAACAGCAGGGCCAGAATTTAGGTATAATAAGTAAGTGTTTTGGTGGTTGAGAAACAGTTTGTATATGAATATATCATTATTTATTCGTTAAGTCATGTGAAAAATATAATCAAAGGTTTAAATAGAAACAAATCAACTAAAGCCCTCAAGTAGAGACTTTGTTGATGTTATTTATGATTTCAGTTGGCTTAGGATATTATCAGTTGAATATGTAAATGAGAAAATAAATTATATCAGTAACAAATTCTGCACAGCATTGTACTCCCCTATATGTAATGCAGTGATTATTTCCTATATAATTTCACTGAATCATATCAAGAACCTAGAACAACTTTTATTTGATTAGGGTTTGTTCCATGGTACATATGAAAATATTCTGTTATTTCTGATTTTTACCTTAGCTCTTTAGGTACCTATTACTCCTACTTACAGATGAGAAGATGAAATTCTATATATGCATGACACAGTACATATTAAGGAAGAAAGTAGTGGCATGTCTGGAAACTCTGCTCTAGGAAGGAAGAAAGAGTTCTGTGCCAGCTAGCCAAACAGGGAAACTCTGTCTCTAAAAAGTCAAGTGAAACAACATCTACAAAAACAACAAACCCAAAACTAAAGCAAGATGTTTACAATTTTATGAAGCTTCCTGGCTTATTCAGGAAATTTAATAATTAACTATATTCATTTCTCTAATCTCTTGATAGGTGCAGGTGTCCTTTTAATGCTCAAAACCTATTTTCAAACTAGGCAGTGATTCCATAATCAATAGTGTCATGGTTTAATTGGCAGCATGTTTTTTCTAATGTATCATAGAATAATGCTGTCTCTTGCCAACAGTGGCACTTTAAGATTCAATAAAATACTTGCTTTTTTCAATAATTCTATATACTGTCTGTCTGCTATAGCATAGGTAGTCTTAATATCACTTCTGAATAAATGCGTTATTATAGTGCTTAAAATAGTGTATGGATCGTGCATTGTGACACACATCTTTTCAGGTTATTTTCTTCCCTATCTCTATTTATATTGGTCTCCTAACCAGTTCTCAGATATGCTATGTATATTAATGCATAGGGATTTTAAAAATGTCTTTGCCTACAGTGATTCCTTCCTCTCTACTTTGAAGTAGTTACAATTGTTGCAGTTCTCCAGGAAGTTTATCCTGACTGTATCAGTAAATTGCAGCCCTTCTCCAGTATTTTATTTTCTAAAATTTATTTTTATTATTTTTGATTGTATAAGTGTGTCTGTCTGTGTATGCATGTCACAACCCCAAATACTTACCTTTATTTGTGTGTGTGTGTGTGCGCGCGTGTGTGCATGCGTGCGTGCGTGCGTTTGTGTGAATGTCACCTGCACAAAAGAGCTCCCAAGACGGTGTTAGGTCTCTGAAGCTGGGATTAGAGGCTGTTGTGAATTGCTTAATATGGGTGCTAGGAACTGACTCTGGGTCATCTGGAGCAGCAACGAGGGCTCTTAACCACTGAGCCCTCTCCATATTTCTTGTTCCACTTATATTTGTGGTGTAGTTTCATTGATCACTTTCTAACATGTATTTATTTATTTATATATTTTTTTATTTTTTACTTATCTCTATTTTGTTTAAACTCTATGAAGCAGGACATTTTCTCTTTTGATTATTGATAAATCCATAGTTTAAACATATGAGAAATATTCTATAAATGTCAGTATTGGACTAAACATTATGAAACATATATAGTCATCATTTCGCAGATATGGAAATGGTTTTTTGTTTGTTTGTTTATTTTTAAGACAGGGATTTTCTGAGTAGCTTTGCGCCTTTCCTGGAACTCACTCCATAGCTGGCCTCAGATCCACCTACCTCTGCCTCCCAAGTGCTGGGATTAAAGCCATGCGCCATCACCACCCAGCCAGATGTGGAAATTGATATGAACCAATTAAATGGTTTTCTCAGGGTCACACATAGGAGTAGCAGAGCCTAATGTTTACCCACTTTTTTGTTTTGTTTTGTTTTGTTTTGTTTTATTTTTTTCCTTCTTGTGCTGGGGATTAAACAAAGGGCCTCACATGTGCTAGTTGGGAATTCTCATCATTGCGTTACATCTCTGGTACTTACATTCTGTCAAGGGAGTATAGATCATAAATTATAAATTTAATAGGTAACTCATGTAGAAGTCAGTACTAAATTATATGGGGTGAAGGCAGAATCTCTGACTCTCTTAATTTTTTTTGGAAGATTATCATTGATAAAATTCTGTTAACTTTCCAACTTCATTTTAAGTTCACTTAAATGGCTTTGATTTTTGTATCTTTGTATAACAATTTTATATTCACTAAGATTATTAGATATATAAAGAGAAGTTGCATGAACTGAATGAATACATCTCTGCAATGTTTTACTTTTTAGGTACCAGATCATCAATCAATAAAATTAAGTAATCTAGGTGAGAATAAACACTATGAAGTGGCAAAAAAATGTGTTGAAGATTTGGCACTCTACTTAAAACCACTAAGTGGAGGTAAAGGTAAGTTCATAAGATGCATTCTTAAGTGTGTAAGACTTGGTCAAGTGTTAAGCATTGAGTTCTTAACTTTGACTAGAGTCACTGCCTATCATGAAATCCACAGTGTATTGGATGGGTATATAAGTATAATAAATTTTTTAGTTGCTTTGACAAAAGCAGAATTGTAGTTTATTGTTGCTATTTCTTACAAATATAATAATTATTAAATGAATCAAATATTTTTTTTGTGCCTGTTAATTGAGAGTGGACTTAGGATGCTTGAGATACTTTAGTAAACAGGAAAACACAACCTGAACCTAAATGTAGTACTTGATTTCAGTAAAAGGAAAAAGTATAGTAAACAGTATGGTGAATTAGGTTATATATTGTTAATGGTAATTGGTATAAAAAGAAAATATAGGGAGGTTAAAATGTCACGGTGAGAGGATAAAGACAGATTACAGATTTTAAGAATATCTAGTGAGGTCCTTGTTTAGAATGTGGCTCTTAAAATTGAATTGAGTTAAAAGAGATGAGATAGGTACTGAAGTAGATCCTGGAAAAGTTTTTTCTATGCAGTGGGAACAGCCATCCATTGTATTGTCCCTGTGGGAAGGAGAGAGTGTACTTGGAGTAATGTCAGTCAGGAGAGTATTACAAGAAAAGTTAGGATGGAATATAGTGAGGCAAGGTGATATGCCAACTTTCAGATCATGTACAGACTTGAGCTTTTGCTCTGAGTAAGTTGGGGATGGTTTTGAACAGAGTAGTGACATAATTGGACTAACATTAAAGGATTACTTTGACTGTTCTCTTGATACTGTATTTAAGGACAAAAGGAATAGTGAAAAGTTAAACAGTTGAGGCACAGTTAGCAAAAGTGGAGCTTGGTACATAGTTTGGATGCATTTGGAGGTAAGACAAAAAATATTTCCTGGATTTGGAGTTGGAGAGGCAGAGCAGAAGAGGCAAGTGTAACTACTGAAGGTTTTGCTTGAGTGCCTGTAAAGAGAGTTGCTACAGCTTTTGGAATAGTGGAGGTAGATCAGGTTTGGGTAAGAAGCTCAAGTTCAGTTTTGGTTATATTAAGTTTTAGATGTCTAAGATTCATCTAATAGCTTATATTGCTATTAGATACTGATATTGAGTAGCTGATACTGAGTTACCAGTGGATATATGAGTTTTGAATTAAGATGAAGTGCATGGTCTATAGCTTTGGGGATTATTATAATATGAATGTTTTGGAGAGCAACGTGACTGGAAGAGATCATCTGTGTAATGAGTTTATAAGATAGTCCCTTTAATGTTGGTAGGTCAGGGTAGGGGTCTAAAAACTGATATCAGCCGGGCGGTGGTGGCACACGCCTTTAGGCCCAGCACTCGGGAGGCAGAGGCAGGCGGATCTCTGTGAGTTCGAGGCCAGCCTGGGCTACCAAGTGAGTTCCAGGAAAGGCGCAAAGCTACACAAGAGAAACCCTGTCTGGAAAAAACCAAAAACAAACAAACAAACAAAAAAAAAAAACCCTGATATCAAAGGATACTATATGGGAGAAAAGTAAGAAAATGGAATGTTCTGGAAACCCAAATAAAGTGCTTAAAAGACTAAAGTCATCCATATTGAATGTTACTGAAAATTCAAATGAAATAAGGGTTGAGGATTAACTGGATTTAGCAAAGTAGATGTAATTGTCTTGATGAACAGTTTGGTGTAAGAGATAGTGGGGCAAAATCTTGAATTGGAATAGGTTTTCCAGATTTGTGAAGCAAGATGTTAGAAATAGTATATAATAGAAAATGTACAAGATAGCCGGGCAGAAGGGAGGAGAATCAGAAATTTGAGGGCAGCTTGGGCTACATAGCATGTTTAAGGCTAGCTTAGGCTATATATTAAAAGTGTTCCCAAAGTAGGAGCAGTGAGGAAGAAAGGCAGGTAATAGAAGATTTATTACACAAGGAAATAAAGAAATATGACAACTAGTAAAGAAAGATCACTTTAAAAAAATCCGTTTACAGCCCAGCGGTGATGGCGCACGCCTTTAATGTCCTGTTTAATCCCAACACTCGGGAGGCAGAGGCAGGTGGATCTCTGAGTTCAAGGCCAGCCTGATCTACAGAGCAAGTTCCAGGATAGCCAAGGCTACACAGAGAAACCCTGTCTCAAAAAGAAAAAAACAAAAAACAAAAACAAATACATTTTTAAGATGAATGGAATACTGGCATATTTGCACCTAAGTATTTTGCTGATGGATATGATCAAACAGAAGGGAAAAAAATGTGTGATACAGAAGAGGGAAGGATTTCTTTTTTTTTTTTTTTAATTAATTATTTATTTATTTATTACACATACAGTGTTCTGTCTACGTGCCAGAAGAGGGCACCAGATCTCATTATAGATGGTTGTGAGCCACCATGTGGTTGCTGGGGATTAAACTTGGGTCCTCTGGAACAACAGCCAGTGCTCTCTGAGCCTCCTCTCCAGCCCGAGGGGAGGATTTCTGAGTGGTGCCCTGAGCAGGTTCAAAGGAAGGGAATAAGAACTACATTTAAGCAGTGTTAAACATTTCTTGTGTGTGGTGTTTTTTTAAAATAACCATTACTAAATGTTACTTTTAAGGTTAAAATTTATATTCATTAGTAAATTTATCTCCAGATACTTTATTAAGGGTGGAGAGTAAAGTAAATCCCAATAGTCTTTAGACAGATCCAGCCTATAGAACAAGACACCTAAGTAAAATCTGAAGTATTTAAGAACTAGGCTCTTTATTATTATAGAATGGTAATAAACAGGGACACAATATTCAGTTAGAAAATCAAATCATCTAACAGACTCATAAAGAACTGTTATTTAATAATTAAATACAGATAATGAAAATTGTCTTTTTTTAATTGAAAAATGTTGAGTTTCTTTTGTCTCCATTTGTTAAAGGTGTAGCTAGTTTGAACCAGAGTGCCCTGAGCCGTCCAATGCAAAGGAAACTAGTTACACTCGTAAACTGTCAACTGGTGGAGGAAGAAGGTCGTATCAGAGCTATGCGAGCAGCCCGTTCCCTAGGAGAAAGAACTGTAACAGAACTGATCCTGCAGCACCAGAACCCTCAGCAGCTATCCGCCAACCTGTGGGCTGCTGTCAGGGCTCGAGGATGCCAGTTTCTAGGGCCAGGTAAAATAGATCACCATCTTAGTGTTTTTACTGGTCATCAGATCTTGAGGATGCCAATTTTTAGGGCCAAGTAACAAATCCTGCATATACTGACATTGTAAACTATAAATCAGTCTGTTCTTTATGTTGTTGTTGTTGTTTGTTTTTCGAGACAGGGTTTCTCCGTGTAGTTTTGGTGCCTGTCCTGGATCTCGCTCTGTAGACCAAGCTGGCCTTGAACTCACAGAGATTTTCCTGGCTCTAACTCCCGAGTGCTGGGATTAAAGGCATGCACCACTGTTGCCTGATAAATCAGTCTATTCTTATAGCCAATGCTTTGGAAGAAATTTCTCATTTATTTCTTAGGCATCAGTGAGATAGAGGGCTCATATGCAATTTGCAAATTAGAAAACTGATTTAGGAAAGGGCCTGCCTGCTACTGCACAGGTGTACGCCAGGGAAGGTAAAGTTTTTTGGGAGGTGGCAGCATGATATAAATAATAAACTTTTGATTGATTGTTAACACTTGGAAAACATAAGAAATTTTGAAACCAGCAATAAGTTTCTTTATGATCAGTGCTATGAATGTCCTGTTTAAAGCCATCTCTATACCAAGTTATAAAGTACTTATATGTTAATTGGGAGATTTTTTTTTTTAATTTAGAATTGTAATTTGAATGAAATTTATATAGGAAACATTTTGTTTCAATGATTTTGGGTTTTTTAAAATAGTCTCCTGTTTAGCTAAGGCTGACCTAGAATACTTTGTGTGTAGTGCAGGCTGGCCTCCAACTTTGTAGTTTTTTTTGCCTCAGCTGGAATTACAGGCATTCACTACTATACCCAGCTAGGAAACATTTTTTCTTTAAAGATTTACTTAATTGTGTGTGTGTGTGTGTGTGTGTGTGTGTGTGTGTGTGTGTGTGCGCGCGCGCGCGCGCGCGCACACACGCTCGCGCAGGGTCCTACTATGTAGCTCTTGCTATCCTGGAACTCATGTAGACCAGGCTGGCCTTGAACTCAAAGAGATTCTCCCGCCTCTGCCTTCCAAGTGCTGGGTTTAAAGGCATGCAAAAAAAAAGTGTGTATGTGTGTGTGTGTATGTATATATATTTGTTCCTGTGAGTGTGTGTCACATGTATTCAGCAAGGAGCGCAGAAAAGGGTGTCAGATGCCCTGGAATGGAGTTAGAGGCAGTTGTGAGCTGACGGACAGGGGTACTTGAACTGAATTCAGGACTTCTGGAAAAGTAGTGCTCTTAGCCACTGAGCCATCTCTTTAGCTCTTAGGAAACTTCTTGTTTTGTTTTGATTTTGTTCTTTTTTTTTTTTTTTTTTTTTTTTAATGAGTGATATTGGGACAGCTAGACTGAAATGTAGCAAAAGAATTGGGTGCTTCTTTAAATATCTTTGGAAACTTCAACTATAAGCAAATGTTTCTGAGACAATGGGAAAAATCAAATGTGGACTGGATATTCAATTAAGGAAATACATTACTTTTGTTGGATGTGGGCTTATGTAAAAAATTTAAAAACTGTCATATATTACAAATATGTATTTAAGACTAAAATAATATGTTGTCTGGGACTTACACCAAAATACAAGGTAAAATAAACTAGAAAAGTAAAAAAGTAGATAAACCTTTCTGAAAGCAGCTATGTTGATAGTTAAATGTATATGCTTTAAATTTTGCACAAATCAGAGTTAAATTTAAAATTTTCAAAAAATTTTCATTCTTTATGAACTTAATTTATACATGATACCTTTGAATATTTGTTCATGTTTATTTTTTGTCTGTAGAAGCATTAGATACCTGATATTACTTATTTTAACTCAAAAAGACAAAAACCTGATTCAAAAATAGATCAGAGACTTAGCAACCAAATAAGAGACTGGTAGAGAACAAGCTTAGGTAGGACACTGGAAGTCTTTAATTAGTATTGAATGTAGATCAACAAACTCGGCAAGGGGCTGCAGGGTGGAGCTCTGCGGAAATGCTTACCTTGCTTGTATTAGGCCCTGACTGGAGTTGCTCCCCAGACATGCAATAATAAACCACAGTGAGATACTACTTCATACATGTTTAGTTTGCTGTGATTAAAAAGTAAACCACCTGATAAGTTGGTAAGAATGTGGACATAGAAAAATGGTGCTCTCCTATATGGAACAAACCTTGGCAGTCCCTCTAAAGCTAAACACGACCCAGGAGTTCAGTGGTCTTTCCAAAATAATAGAAATCAGATACTCAAACTGGTACTTGGACGCAAATGTTTATATTTATAGCAGTAATATTTACAATGATTAGAAGGAAGGCAGGCACAATTTGGCAATGGTAGAAACACACTGGGGTGGGGCGTAGAGGGGAAGGTAGGCACAAGCTGTTCGTAATCATGCGTACCTATTATCTTGGCACTTGGGGAGAATCAAGTAGGAAGATGAGTTGGAGGCCAGCCTGGGTTACATATCAAGCCTCTGTCTCAAAGAACCTCAGTGGTAATTTCACAACTATGCCACCATGCTTGGCCTATAGTGTTCTTTTATCTGGAACCATTTCCTGAATTGTCTTGGTGATATCCCTTGAATATAGACCATTTATTTTAAAGTATAAAAAAGGTGAAAGCATTCTATTTGTCAGTCAACTAATAAAGGCATAATCAAAACATAATGTGTTCATAAAGTGCCATCTAACCATAACCAAGAAATGGAGTGATACTTGCTGCTTATAGTGTTTGAAAATAGTGTGGTATTTGAGGGAAACCCTGATAGGAAATGAGTGATTGCTAAGGAGAAAAGGTTACCAGAAACGACTGCTTGATGACTATGAGTTTTCCTTTGGAGCAGTAGAAATATCTTTGAACTAGGTACAGTTAATGGTTGTAAAATCTTGTGAATGTACTAAATGCTACTGGATATTGCAAACCACCTTATTATTATTATTATTATTATTATTATTATTATTATTATTTTACAGTGCTGGGATGGAATTAAGGGTCTTGGCATATACTAGGCAAGAAGAAACTATTTTATATTCCTAGGCCTGTTTTTTTAAAGTGGTTAATTTTATGAGAATTCTATCTAAAATTTTTGTAAAGTCCTCAAGTAACTCGAATTTTGTTCTTGACTAATGATGGTGCCATGATATTGTTCTCATTTGATTGATAATACCCTCACTTTGGAAAAGGGATTGGATTGACTCTAGACTCTTGATGATATCTCAGTTTTAAATTTCCATTGTTTTGATAGATAACAATATATTTTTAATTTCTTAGTTTGAAATAACTTTAAATTCACTGAAAACATGCAAAAATAATACAGAAAATTACCTGTATATTGCTTAAGCATATTCATGAGTTTTAATTCTTCCATATTTGGTAATTATTATTTTCTTTTTTGGAATATTTTAAAATAGGTTGCATATTTTATTCTTCCTTTACTTTAGTGTGTTTCATAAAAGCAAGGGTACTGCTCTGTTAAAAGAATGTATTCATCAAATTAAAACAATTGTCATCGAGTCGTGTGGTAGTGGCGGTGGCAGCGGCAGCAGAGGCGGCTCACGCCTTTAATCCCAGCACTTGGGAGACAGGCAGGCAGATCTCTCTGGGTTTGAGGCCAACATGGTCTACAGAGTGAGTTCTAGGACAGCCAAGAATAGCTAAGGCTACACAGAGAAACTCTGTCTCAAAAAGGGGAAAAAAAAATTTAAGATGGTGTAGTACTACAGTCTTTTCATATTTATTGGTGTCTATTATTCTCAAAATACATTTTCTGACATTGTTTTTTTCTGGTGTAAGACCAGCTCACAATCACTGTGTTATCATGTCTCTTTTTAGTTGTTTATTTATACTCAGGGTCCCACTATGTAGAAGCCCAGGCAAACCTGGAACTCGAGCTTCTTGCCTTAGCCTTCCAAGTATTACAGGCCTGCGATACCATGCCCAGCTGTCAGCATTCTTTTATCTTGAACCGTTATCCGTCTTTCTTGGCACTGATATTCTAGAAGAATACAGAACATTTATTTTATAGAACATTTGTCATTTTAGATTTACCTGGTAGTCCCTCGTGATTTGATTGAGAATATTCTGTATTTCCCTAAATATAAAACAACGTAAGTAGCCAGGCAGTCCTGATACATGCCTTTAATACTAGCACTTGGGAGGCAGAGGCAGGTGGATCTCTGAATTTGAGGCCAGCCTGGTCTACACAGGGCAACTTGTCTTCCAGGATAGCCAGGGCTATACAGAAACCCTGTCTTGAAAAACCAATAAATAATAAATAAGTTGACATAAGTGAAGTTAATGGCTTCTACCCAAAGGCTAATATTATTTAAAATTATAGATAAATAGTTTCTGACAGGCACATTAACTGTTTTGTGACATAAACCAAATATATATGTTCTTTGCAAATTATCATTGCCAAAGTAGTTCTCTGTTTTATGAATTGCTTTCCCATTAACATCATTATCTACTTTCTGATGTATACCTATAGAAGATATTTTATTAAAAGTTTTGTTCACTGGGTTGGAAGCATGACTCAGTGATTAAGAGCAGTTACTACTACTGTAGTTTGATTCTCAGTATCTGTAGCAGGTGGCTCGTTTGTAATGATAAGGGATCCTAAGGGATAAGACCCCTCTAGCCTGAAAAGGCACCTGCACAGATGCACAGACTCACACTCATACATACACAATTAAAAATAATAATAAGAGAAATAAAGTCCTTTTCACATCTGTGTTCTGATTGGTCATTTAGTGCAAAGTATGTTTTCTTTTGCTTGGTAACGTTTAAAATTCTTGTTTGTGGGGCTGTAGAAATGACTTACTGATTAAGATCAGTCTTTGCTCTTGCAGAGGACCTAGGTTCAATTCCCGGTACCCACATAGTGACTTACTATCTATATACTTCCGTTCCAGGGATCCTATACCCTTTCAAATCTCCATGGCACCAGGCACACACATGGTGTATGTACATACATGTAAAGAAAACTTTCATGCACATAAATCTAAATTTTTTTTTTTTTAATATTGCAAGCTGGGCATAATGCTGCATGCTTTTAATCTGAGCACTCAGGAGGCAGAGGGCGGTGGATCTCTGAATTTGAGGCCAGCCTGGTCTACACAGGGCAACCTGTCTTCCAGGACAGCCAAGGCTACAAAGAGAAACCCTGTCTTGAAAAAACAAAAATAAAAAAATTAATATTGTATGTATGTGTATGTTGGATCTGTTTAACTGCAAGTGTATCTTGACATGTGTGGACATTGGGGAACAATTTTGTGGAGTCTTTTCTCTTCTTCCACCTTTACCTGGGCTTTTGGGATGGGATTCAGATTGCTAGCCTTGATCAACAAAAGCATCTTTACCTCATGAGTCACTTTGCTGGCCCTTGATCAATTTAAAAATGAACTGTAGCAAAGCTACACAGAGAAACCCTGTCTCGAAAAACCAAAAAAAAAAAAAAAAAAAATGAACTGTTTTTGTATATGTGTGATTTCCTTTTTTCATGCTAATTAGATGTATGTTGTTCATAGTGTACCTCCATAAATTGATACTCAAATATACTTGGACAGAAATCATCAGTTTAATCTTTGGTCCTTTACCACTTCTAGCTATGCAAGAAGAAGCCTTGAAGTTGGTATTGCTGGCATTAGAAGATGGTTCTGCCCTCTCAAGGAAAGTTCTAGTACTTTTTGTTGTGCAAAGACTAGAACCAAGATTTCCTCAGGCGTCAAAAACAAGTATTGGTCACGTTGTGCAGCTACTGTATCGAGCTTCTTGTTTTAAGGTAAGTACTGTACAACTCTCTGAAGATCACATGCTTACATATGAGACAGAGGCTTCCTAGAATCCATGTTACCTAGTGTAGTGACCCCAGACATACAGAACACTTCAAAAGTTGAGAAGAATTGTTTCATTTTTCCTTCTGCATTAATTTTTGAGACCAGGTACTTGTTACCACCTATCGGTTTCAGAAACATTGAACTGAACATATGTAAAACCCTAACTTTAGATTCTTACAGGAACTTGTAAAAATGAACTAAAGAAGCCTCACCTTGCTGGGTGGTGGTGGCACATGCCTTTAGTCCCAGAACTCTGGAGGCAGAGCCAGGTGGATCTCTATGAGTTCAAGGCCAGCCTGGCCTACAGAGTGATCTCCAGGACAGGCACCAGAACTATACTAAGAAACCATGTGTTGAAAAAAGCAACAACAACAACAAAAAAAGTAGACACCACCTCACTTTTCTTTCTTTCTTTTTTTCCCCCCTATCATCAGCTTGTTACAGTACAAATTCTTATCCTAATAGTGAAATGTTTCACTGATGCTTGCCCAGTGATTAAGTAAAACCAAAACTTATTATAAGACACAGTCATCCTAGGGTCCCCCCTGCTATGTAGCCTCCCTGGATCTGTAGGTTGCAGTCTGATTAGATTATTCGATATTTTGATGTCTAGTTTCTTGAGGGTTTTTGTTTTTTTTTTTTTTTTTAATGTATTTTGGAGATCAGCCTCCTGTCAGATGTGGGGTTGGTGAAGATCTTTTTCCATTCTGTAGACTGTCTTTTTGTCTTATTGACCATGTCTTTTGCCCTACAAAAGCGAAGAAGCCTCACTTCTTTTGTTTTAAACAAGGAGTCCCAATGGCCTTTAATCCCAGAACTTCGGCGGCAGAAATAGGCAGATCTCTGGGTTTGAGGCCAGCCCAATCTATAGAGTGAGTTCCAGGATAACCAGGGATACACTGAGAACCCTGTCTTAATAAAACAAAACAAAACAAAACACCATGGAGTCCCAAATTATTTTGTAGACTTCAAAAGAATAGGAAATATTTGTAATCCATTGGGGTTTTTTGTTTTTGTTTTGTTTTTATCTTTTGGGTAGTGATAAAAGTCTTTCATGTGAAAATAGTCCACAAGAAATTCAAGGTTAGCCAGGTATGACAGCACACACCTTTAATCCCGTAACTTGGGAGGTAGAGACAGGTAGATCTTTGTGAGTCGAGGCCAGCCTGGTCTACAGAACAAGTTCCAGGACTGTTACACAGAGAAACCCTGTCTCAAGAAACCCTGTCTCGAAAAACCAAAAAGAAAAAAAGAGAAAAGAAATAAACTGATGATTTGTATATGTGATCATGATTACAATAATCTTAATCCTGAGGAAAGGTCATACACCTACAAAAATCTGGTTACTAAACTGACAAAGCTGATTAAAGGCATTGGACAGTGATTAATTTTCCAAAAGTAAATGTCACTTAAGTGAGACCTTTTGGCATTTCCGTCTGCATATCTTTAGCATTTTAAATTACAGGGCTGTAAGGCCGAAATGAGAAAATTGAAATATATCCTAAGTTATTGTGATGTAATTGCCAGATAACACTGGAAACTATAAATATGTAACAATCATAAACCACAGAGCAGTTTGATACCTGTAGGAAAAAAGAATTGGATACTTCAGTGAACACCATGGAAAAGCCTAGTCAGTCAAGTGTGAATGACACATAACCTCCTTTAAGGATATGAAATCAAGCACTATGACTATGAGAGAGTGTCCCAACCTCATTAGCAAAGGTAAATGACCCCATTTGAACATACTTCCATCGTCAATCACCTATTTTCTAAACTGGAGTACTTCCAAGGAAACCTTTTTCAATCTTAGAGCCTTAAAATGAGCAAAGGAACCTAGATGCGTGTGATTTACTTTCAAAAAAACCAAGAAGTCTATTTACAAATCTATGCATTTTTCAGGTGCTAGCTAAACAACCTACACTTTGATAACAGAAAACAAGGATGCAGGTAGCTTTTCTAATCTTTCAGTGGCCCAAAGTAGTCTTCACATCCATCAAACAAAATAACAGTTTGGCAATCTTCTCAACTTTTGAATTTCTTTTGAGGGGGTGGGCAGTTTTTGAGACAGGATTTCTTAGTGTAACCCTAGCTGTCCTGGAACTCACTCTTTAGACCAGGCTAGCTTTGAAGTCACAAAGATCCACCTGCCTCTGCCTCCAAAGTGCTGGGATTAAAGGTGTGTGCCACCACTGCCCAACCTAAGTAATTTCTAATAAGGATTGAAATTCACGTCAAATGAGATGACTCTGTGGGTAAAGGTCCGGCTCTTGAATCAGATGACAAATTTAATCCCTGGTGGAAGGATAGAACTGACTCCTGAAACTTGTCCTCTCATGGCACATGCATGTCTACATATATACACACCAAATAATTAATGTTATATTGGTACATATTTTCCTGTAGAGAGCCTTTGTTTACCAAGCATGGAATCAGAACAAGGGGAATTAATGATTGTCATGCTTAGTGTAGTGGTTCCCAACTGAAAGTTCAGCACCGGAGTTATCATATGTGTATGTTCCTGGGCTCTACCATCAAGAATTCTCATTCAGTAGATTTGAGAGTATGTCTTTCAAAGCTTCACAAATTTTATTTTTTGTGTTTTGTTTTTTTTCCCTAAAAGATAGGTTCTCCTGTAACGTAGGCTGACCTGTTTTGTAGCTGAGGATGACTTTAAACTTCTGATCCTCTTCCTTTTACTCCCAATTGCTGAGATTATGGGAGTGCATCACTTTAATGCCTAGTTTTTATGTGGTAGTGAGGCTCAAACCCCAGCTTTGTGCATGCCAGGCAAGTACTCGATCAACTCAGGTACATCTCCAGCAGCCCTTCACAAATGATTTTGATGCATATTAATACTAATTGGATCAGCCCCTGTTAGTTACCCAAGTCTTTCTTCAGGTTCTTGGGTGCTCTTGCTACCCGTGGGCATGTGTGCACTATATGGTGCTTAGAGGTATGTTATAATCCTCTAGGTCTTTAGTTCCCTTACCCCCCCATTTAAGTTAATAATTCTTTTGTTTCTCTGATCTTCTTTTTTTTAAATATATATTTATTTATTCATATATTTTATGTCTATGAGTGCTCTGTCTTCATGTACACCAGAAGAAGGAATCTAATCCCATTACAGATGGTGTGAGCCACAATGTGGTTGCTGGGAATTGAACTCAGGGCCTCTGTAAGAGCAAGCAATGCTCTTAACCGCTGAACCATCTCTTCAGCCCCTCTCTGTTGTTCTTTTATAGTGGGTTATTGAAGAATACTGGCTTTTAAGTTACATCCACACCCCACTCCTTATTAAATGTGTAAGATTCTATTGATTGGGGCTGGAGTGACTCAGTGGCTCAATGACAGGAATACTTGCTCCTCTTGAAGAAGACCTGGATTTAGTTTTCAGCATCCACATGGTGGTTTCAGGGAATCTTGACATCCTTTTCTGGTCTCCATGGGCACAAAGCACACCTGTGATGTACATATATACATGCAGGTGAATACTCATACACATAAAATAAATAAGAAGAAGTGTCTTAGTTAAAATTTTGTATGTCCCAAACTCGATTTTTTT